ATATCCGTAAAGAACAGCACTGCTTGCTCGGATTTGATTTGGGTGATTGGACGAGCCTCGATCCATTTGGAGAATTTGTCGATGGCTATGAGCAGATGGGTATAGCCCCCGGGTGCCTTCTGCAGAGGCCCAACCACGTCCAGCCCCCACACGGCGAATGGCCATGTGATAGGGATGGTTTGGAGGGCTTGGGCCGGGAGGTGCGTCTGTCGGCGTAATCTTGGCATTCTTCGTGGAGGCGTACTAGCCCGTGGCATCGACCACCATTGCTGCCAAGCCGATAGAAACCTTGGCGGAAGGCGTTTCCCACTAGCGCCCGAGGCGCTGTGTGGTGCCCGCAGGCTCCCACATGCAAGTCTCGGAGTAGTGATTGGCCAGCCTCGGTGGTGATGCACCATTAGAGAATACCAGACGGGCTACGCCTATACAACTCGCCGTTGCACAGGACGTAAGTCTTGGCTCGTCGCGTAAGCCATCGAGCCTCGGTCCTGTCCACGGGAAGCTCTCCTCGCACGAGGCGATCAAGAAAAGGGGCTCGCCAGTCCCTTCCTCGGTCGGCCTCGGGAGGCTCTGAGTCAATTGCCATGGCCTCGGGCTCGGGCGGCGGGGTCTCGGTGGCAAAGGGGGCCTCGGGCCCTGTGGTGGGCTCGGCCAATGGGCCCTGTGGTAGAAGCGGGCGCTGCGGATGGCCTTACTGAAAACTCTAGGGCCAGGCGGCCCGGGAGAAGGACTGCGGTCCTCCCCACTATCATAGCGACCGCCTCGGTGCACTTGGTAGCCCCGGGCGGCCCTATAGTGGTCGTGGCACCGTCGTCTGCTGTCCACGTGGTGGCCGTTTTGCGCCTCGCGTTGGTCGTCGAGGCGGTCGTGCACCGAGGGGCCCCTAAAGCGATCGTGCACCAAGGGTTGTTTTCGAGGCGTCCCCTGGTCGTCGAGACGCGGAGCTTTCGACTTTCTTTGCCGCACGGCGGTCTCGAGAAGGCCCGAGTTCGCCGTGGACTCGCCGCCCCTCCGTGGTAGAGGGCTCGGGCATCGCCGGACCATATGATTGCCACCGCAACGACGTTACGGCTAGCGATTGAAGACGAGGGTTGCTCGCCCCCTCATCATCGTTAATCGGCGGTTGATGTCGCGAGCCCCTAGCCGGAACCGTTTATCATCGCCGTGCCCCGCTGCTCTTGCTCGAGGGTGGCTCGGAGCTGCTGCAGGAGGAGTTGATCTTGCTCGACCTTGGCTTGAAGCTCACGGAGCTGCTCTAGGTCTATCGTCAAAGTTGCTCGGGGTGGGGACACTGCCGCCGCAGCTTGGCGGGACCCCGTGCGTGGTGGCGTGGCATTGGCTGCCCTTCCTCCATCGTTGCCCATGCTCGGCATTCCGAGTCCGATGTGGAAACACTCACGAGTCGGGTCGTAAGCATCCTCGCCGTCGGAATCGAGTAGCCGGCGATGAGTCGCCGCGATCATGAAGCGGCGCGCTCGCCTCGAGTCGCGAATCCCGGAGAAATTCTGCTCCAACCCACGCCTCGTCCTCTCCTCCGAGGAGTCGAGTGGGGTGGATTGGAGTTGTGACTATGGGGTTATGGGCATGACGTTGATGAATGCGCAGAGGGCGGTGGCGGTGGAGGCGGCGACATTGGTCGGCCCGAAGAATGCACGGGATGGCGCCGTCGCCAGAGCTCTGCTCCGCCAGAGCCGGCTCCTCGGGAGGAGGCGGGACGAGCTTGATGATGGGGCATCGGCTGTGCGCCACCGCCCTTTTTCCCTATCGAGGCTTAAGCCGACGGAGTCCCCATCTTGCAGGACTCTGCCGGCCAATGGGTATGGGATTCCGGTGGAGCACACCTCGGCGTTCAGACTTGCGCGTGTTAGGGGTGGACTCCCATGCGCGGCGCTTAGGCGAGCTTGACGGGAGCGGCGGCGGCGCCGTCCGTCGCGTGGTGCTGCGGTGCATGACGTCGTCGCTCGCCGGTGATGATGGCGCTCGGTGAGAGGAGTACCATGTCGTACTCATGCCCTAGAGACATGAATTCTAGGTTCCCGAACAGACGATCGTCCCGAGACACAACGATCGCACGACAGGATCTCGCCATCCGAATCTGGTGGATGACTAAGGCCGACACGCAGAGGCCCCTACCTAAGCGCCATACCAACCGCCGGTGTTTTGGAACCGGGGTCCTTAACCGACTAGTGAATTTATCTTTGCGTGCTCCCAATTCCGGATGGTGATGCAAAGAGACACAAGGTTTATCTTGGTTCGAGACAATGGATGCCCTACGTCCGATCGAGAAGATGTTCTTGTATTCCTTGCACCGGGGTGCTCATAGTAGGGGTTACAAGCTAGGCGAGAGGGAGTTAAGTCCTAGGTCTCTGTGAGGGAGGTGATATGAATTACGAATGAGGCGTGTTGTTCGTGTGAGTATTCGTGACTCTATTCGCCGTCCCTAAAACGGTCTGGCTGCCTTCTTTTATAGCCGCGGGAGGAAACTAGGAGTACATAAGAGAGCTACACGTGGAGCAAGGACTATTCGATGACGTATTTACTCCTACAGGCAGCATGGCGTTGTCGTGGGAGTTCCGTAGATGTCTAATCGGTATGGTCTCCACTACGGGTAACATCTTTGCGCATTCGTTGACTTGGTGGATTGCAGAGGCTCGGCGCCATCATAGCCGGTCGTCTTGAGGCTGTCTGCCGAAGGCTCATTGTCGCCGAGGCCTTGCTGCGTGCCGAGGCCTAAGAAGACCCTGTGTAGATCTGGGTCTCAACGGCCATCGGCGAACAAAGCGAGACGTGCGCCTATAGGATCTGATTACACTGTTGTCGATGGGGATGGTAAAAAGGTGATCGACCGTTGTCCCATCGCTCTGCTGTAGCGCATATGCGATCGATCGTGGCTTACGTGGCGGGTGCGGTGGCGCGTGTCGGATCGACGACCTACCGGAGAGACCTTTGAGGCGGAGGCGACGAGGTTGCGGGATGAGCCCGACCTCGGGCGAAGCGGGCGTGTGCCAATTGGTCCGAGAGCCCTCTACGGGGGTCTCTCGGCGAGGAGGACGGGCGAGGCGGAGAAAGATCGGTGAATCCGAGGCCCCATCGAGGGGCTCGGGCGAGACGGAGCGGTCGGTCCGGCGATTCCGAGGCTACTGAGAACCCGCTCGATTCCCCCACGTTCGATGTGTCTTTGGTGCGGGAGTTAGGCGGCCACGGTGGTCGGTAACCCCCCTCTGTGCTGTCTGTCGCGAGATGGCGGGAGGTTGACGCGATCGGGCGTGTAGTCGGTCCTTGACCATCTTTGTGCCATCGTGCGTCTGTCCGGAGTGGTTGGGCGCTTGGATGCGACGTTCGGTCGAGCGATTCGGTCAAGAGGCGGTCACGGGCTGGTCCCGAGCCCCTCGCGAATCGGAGAATCGGCACTTCTTCCGAGGCCCCGGGCGAGGGGGGCTCGACAAACGGGCCTCGACGAGGGGGCCTCGGCGAGGCGGTCTCGGGCGAGTCGGAGAATCGTTTGCTTCATTGGGGCTCGGCAACGAGGGGTCTCGGCGAATCGGAGATTTCGGCCGAGACCTCGTTTGTTTATTCCGTTGGTTCTGTTTTTAGGGTCTAAGCAGTTTTTCGATCTTTGCTTGGGGTACCCCATTTTCTGGTATCCGACAAGGGGAAACCTCCAAATCAAAAGTAGGAGCACTGATTTGAGAGCTTGTGCTAGAGATGCTATAATCACTTATCCTACTTATGAGGGTTCAGAGCTAAAAATTGCACTTTAGCAGGGTCCCTCCTAGAGCCCTCAAATTTGAGAGGGCCTCGAACCCTCCCTCCCACACCTTATTTCTAGAGTTTTCTGTGCGTGCGCTTCCTTCTTCCGTCCATGGCTGCCCAGGCAGACAAAAGCCAAAGAGGTCACACCCCCGACTTCTTCCCCTCCACGTCAACTTCCTAGGCGATGCCTTTCCATATCGGAGCCTCTCCCCGGCTGTGCCCTTCCATTTGGAGCCACGGTCGCGCCTGCACCCTTCATGCCAGAGCCCTTCTCAGCCCTCCGTGCCGGAGCCCTTTCCACCCGCGGCCGTAGCATAGTCGTGTGTTTTTGTCAAGAGAGAGAATATAGAAGATATAAAAGAGGATGACAAGTGGGTCTCTGTTAGAATGAATTTGAGGGCACTGTGTTTGAGGGCTCTTGATGGAGTGCATTGAAGAAAACAGGAGCACATGACACTCAAAAGTAGGGAGAGCCATCAAATAAAAAATAGAGTCTCTATTTTGAGGGCTATTTCTAGAGTTGCTTTTAAACCTCTTAAATATTCACAAAGGCATGTATCATGTTCGCTGCCGCTGCAAACTTATAAACTTAAAATATTGTAGAAGAAGGCTGTTGTAACTGTAGCCACTGCGGCTTCTAGCTGCATTGATCATGCTCTGTCTATTTTCTCTTTCTTATTCCTGTACTCTTGTACGATAGTTTTATAACGTGGCATCACATTAGTCACAATGAGATTGACATATACTCCTAGGTGTGAAAAACAAGTGGTTTTAAAAGTTTGGGGTGGGCAAAAATTCGGTTTTGGTGGGATTTTGTGAATATAGCTGTTGCGATCAAGAAAATTTTTGTCCCCCAAAACCTTTCCACTTAGGATACGCTTTCTTTTGTGGAAGGCGTATGCTTCTATGAGGTGAGGTGGTGGGCCCGACCGATCCTACGCAAAAATAAGTCGTGGCTGAGGCGGTAGCTTTGGGTCCTATTTAGCTGGCTAGAAAAACGGCTAATGCTAATTTGGCTTTGGCCTATTTGACTGGAGAAAAACGGCTAATGCTAATTTGTTATTATTTCGCTAAAAGGTACCATTAGTCGAAGGGAACAGCGCCTTGGCTTCCCGTCCCGATCTCACCCTCTCTTCTCGCTTCTCCCCCTCGCCCCCGTTGCGGTCGCCAGGGAAGAGGAGGGACGCCAGGCCGCCGCCGCTAGGGTTAGGGTTTCGAGTGGGAGGGGCAGAGGCGAGGCTCCAGCCATGGCGCTCAAGTTCCTGAACAAGAAGGGGTGGCACACGGGATCCCTCCGCAACATCGAGCGGGTATGGAAGGCGGAGCAGGCGGAGGAGGCGGAGCGCCGCAAGACGGAGGAGCTCAAGAAGCAGGTCGCCGCCGAGAAGGAGAAGGCCGAGTTCCGGGCCATGCAGGAGCGCGCCGGCCTCAGGCCGTAAGTGTTTTTTTTTCATCATCCTTCTCTCTTTCGTTCGGTTGGATCTGATAGGGCGGTCTGTCCGTCCGGCTAGGGTTTCACTTTGATTCGATGGGTTTCGGGCCATTTCTGGCTTCGTCTGATGTGCTAATCGCGCGATGTCTGGTACAGGGCGCAGGAGAGGCTCGACTTCCTCTACGAGTCGGGGTTGGCCGTCGGCAAGAGCTCCGAAGGGTTCCAGGCGCTGCAGCAATCTGCACCGGGGGCAGCTGCTGCGTCCACTTCTGCACAGGCGAGTGCGGCTGATTCTTCCAAGGTACTTAATTCCTGCCTCAACATTGATTGTAGTTCATTTGCGTGTGCGGATCAGCTGAATTCAGTGTAATTCAAAGCGGGAACAGATAAAGTGTGTTCTTGCCAATGATATATTGAGTAAGAAACATCAAGATAAATAAGAGTAATGCCTGATTATTACTGTCGGGTGGTTGTTGTGGTAGAATACTGTTAGCTTATTTCATACTATATTGCATGTTATGCGCACTCAGAGCGATTTATTCTGCGTCTGTAGTATTTAAGTCTTTTAAGAAAATATCATGGAATATGTTGATGCTGACATATATGCAGTTTTAGTAGTGTTTTGTTGCATCGCATCACTTCTTTTATTAAACACATCTACAGAATTAAGTGATAGAGATGCAGCACAGATGTGGCCTCCTAGTAGTGAATCCTTGAACTGAACACTGGGTTACATTCACTAAACTTGCATGCTAACAACAGTTATTTGTGTTAAGCAACATGAACATGGTTTCAAGGTTTCACTCAGTTTCTTGTTTAAACTTGATTTTTACCTTGAGTTACACTTCTACTGATGTCCTGTTTTGAATTGCTATCATGGTGAAAATATGATCTAATAGTCACATTTCTTCATTTTCCTTTGCACGTTTCAGGCAGCTACACCAGGAGCTTTATTTGAGGATAAACCCCAATCTGCAAATGATACATGGAGAAAGCTCCACTCTGATCCTCTACTCCTAATAAGGCAGCGGGAGCAGGATGCAATTGCAAGGATTAAAAACAATCCAATCAAGATGGCGAGATAAAGAAATCTGTAAGTTCTCCTTTCCTTTTATAATGTGGAATCTAGGCTTTTGAGTAAGCTTAACTAAAGTCAAACTTGTTGACAGATGGTTTGTAATTGTTGGTTTGGGATCACAAGTTCATAAATAAGTTTCCAGAAAACAATCGTAGTAACCTTTGATAGGTGAGATTTGTTGAATGCAAGGGAGGCGGAGGATACTATATTGGTTTGTCAAGAAGGTGGATACCCAAAGCCTTTTTTTGACAAGTAACTATGAGTAATCGTTTTTTTTAAAGAAAACCCTCAAATTTCTAACTTTGTGAAAATAAATTAGTTATTCGCAAACTACTTGGCAGTAGACACAAGTTTGAGTGTAGGAGTCGGCCTTGGGTTCGGGTGCATGATTCAGCAAACTTGAAAATAGGACTAGAGGATTTCTAGCACATATGTATTTTTTTTTAAAAAAAAATCTGTAAAGGCAATTTAAATCTTTTGGGGCAGAGCAAGCAACTAATTAACAACATAACACAGAACAAACAACTGATTCCATTTCTTCCCATTGCTCTCTTGGTGGGTGCAGCCTCTTTGCACCTCTGGTTAGCAAAATGAGTTGCCTGTGCCTGCCTCATCTCTCCAGTGCCCTTCTCCTATGCTGGCTCTTTCCTAGGCTCTCTGCTTGATCTCCCCTCCCTACTTAGCCACTTGGACTTGCCAGAGACAAATCTGGTGCATGTCCACGCGGGGATACGTAATGTTACAGCAAACAAATTTTGGACTCGCAAGTCCATATAACACTGATCCAAGTAACATTTGTGTGGTTTGCTGAATTTGGTTTTAGGGAATCTGCTTTTTGTAAAGCTCAGCATCCATTCTTAAAGCATTTTCATTTTGAACACACTCCCTGACACAATCTTGCTCTTGTGTAGGTTGAAGCTGAGAAAAAGCAAAAAGAAGAGAAGAAAGAGAAGAAAAAGCACAAGAAGCATCGCCACCATAAGTCAAAGAGTAAGAGGCATCACTCAGATGAGAATTCGGATTCAGATGAAATAAGTGATGGCAAGGATGAGAGAAGGAAGAGGGCTCATTCTTCTCTTGACCATAAGAAAGAAGAGAACAGGTCCAGGCATAAGAAGCAGCACAGAGAAGATTCATCAGATTCAGACAATGATGAACCACAGAGAAGAAAGCACAATGTATCAGAAGACGATGAACCGAGGAGAAGACAGCGTGACGAGGATGAACCAAGGAGAAGACGGCAGGACGATGGTGAATCAAGGAGACTGCAGGACGACGATGAACAAAGGAGAAGACGGCAGGACGACAGTGAACCTAGGGGAAGACGGCAGGACGACGGTGAACCAAGGAGTAGACGGCAGGACAACGATGAACCAAGGAGAAGACGGCAGGACGACGATGAACCAAGGGGAAGACGGCAAGACGATGATGAACCAAGAGGAAGACGGCAGGATGATGAGAAACCAAGGGAAAGAAGCTACGTTGACCGTCCAAGATATGATCGCTCTGATGCTGATGATAGGAAAAGGAGGCATCATTCACCTCCAAACCGCCATCATGCAAACTCAAAGCATGATGGTCCAGACTCTAGGCCCAAAAGAGTGGATGATGGCCACAAAACTGGGAATTCCACTTCTGAACACCGTTCCCGCTCTGAACAAGGCTCTGGCGAGCTGATGAGGCAAGAAAGCGGACATGGCAGGAACAATGGTCCGTCATTCAACCGTCGACGGGGTGGTGTCCACCATATGTCAGAAGAGGAGAGGTTAGCTCGGCTGCGCCAGATGGAGGCTGATGCTGAGGTCCATGAGGAGCAGAGGTGGAAGAGGCTCAAGAAAGCTGTTGACGACGATGCTAAAGAGGCAGCAACTGTGAATGCGAACCAGTTCAAAGGGAAGAACTTCTTGGAAGATGAAAAGAAGAGCATATTTGGAACAGATAAGGGTGGCAGTGCCACAATTGAAGAGAGCATCAGGCGCCGCGCTTTTTACTCGCAGGGTGGCCGTGATGCCGAGGGCAATGCCTTCAGGCGGTGAATTTCCTGCTGTACTGTTTTGTTGTATGCTTGACTCGTCTTGCCGTCTAAGTATTGTACGTGAAAAGTTGAGAGCTATGTAAAACAGCTGTCTTCTTTCAGTAACAGCAATTTTATCTACGATTTTGATACAGAATTTGGCTTAAATCGCCCCTAAGAATGATTGCCTCAGATTTGATCTTGCTGACGTTCTTCAGGGTTGGCACTGTAAAAAAAAAACTTATATATATGGGTCAATCCCTGCCTTTTCATTGACGGGCCAACATTCCGGGACCCCGTGACGTGGATCATGGAAATGAATTTTGGCTCGGCTCGTTGAACTCGGTTTGAAAGCTTAAAAACGTCCTTTTGGTTCAGTCCACTCCTATAGTCCTATATACATCCCTCTGTAATGGCCATCCCAATCTTTGCATTTCTCCCTTTTTCAGTTTTATATGTTTCATAGCGCCTATAATCTTTTAGTTCTAAAAAAAACTACTGCGTCTGTTCTAGTTGCAGATCATTTTGTCAAGTAGGCACAGAAGTTCCATCTTTTCTTTATAATCGTAGATCATTTCGTCAAGTAGCCACAAAAGTTCCATCTTCTTTTCTTAGACAGAACTGCTTTGCGCGTCTTCTTTTCTTAGACAGAATTGCTTTGCGCGTGCGCATTACATTTACACCATGAAACACTCAGTACATTTAAAACAGATAAAATGTTTGAGACATACGCTTGCAACATATGTGTGAAACATTACAACATCTAGATAAACAATTACAACATAAAAAACACTTACTACAACATAAGACTGAAATAGCTGAAACATTTAGAACATACTGTTGCAACATGTGTGAAAACATATACAACATCAAAATAGAAAACTATTGCAACGTACGCCTGAAAACAGATAAAACATTTTGAACAAATACCTGCAACATGCTTCTGAAACACTTGCAACATATACAACACCCCCTAATCTACTTTTACAACAATCCATAAAAAACAACTGCAACTACCTTTGAAAAAACGTTGGTTTTGTTTTTTAGGCGAGCGGCAGTGAGTGGAGCGAGTAGCATTACCGTGACGAAAAAAGGTTGCAAAACGGGTTTTCATTCACGCAGTAGTTTTTGGTATTGCCCGTTCGTGCAAAACATGACATACCTGTAACAGCTCACTGGCGCACCACCAAGAAGCAAGAAGCACCAGCATTGCATTTCTTATTACTTCATTGAACAAGCAGGGGTTCGTCCCCAAAATAAACAATTTATTATTCAATCATTCTTTTTATTCCTGTCGTGCCTCCCGTAAGTGTGTACTTACAGATGTATAGTCTCTCCTTTGCCACTATTGCCTTTTGCCATGATACTTCACATCAACTGGATGCTGTTTCCCTACTCCCTATACATCCCCACACTTTGTAATAAAATAAATAGAAGAATCAACAGGCAAATACAAGATGCTACTGATTTCCAAGTCCATTTCCATGATCATGAGTGCAGCCAATGATACCATTATCATGTGTCTTGCTAGTGTGCTGCTTCCTCTCTGCTGGATAGCTAATGTCTTGGGAGGGACGACTCACAGAGGAAACTCTTTCTGAAGAGCGTCAAGGTTGCGGGCGTCGCATGCAGCAATCATGTCAGCTCGTGAAGCATTGCTGGTTCAAAATGGGTGGGGCATATTAGTTAATTAAAATCAGTGCTGCCTGTTTCAAGGTCCACATGTAGGTAAATCAATCGCACAAGGAATACCTAAGAGAAATCCTCAAGTATTGCCAGGCGTTGTCAGCTTTAGGGTTCATTGCAACTGCCCTTACATAGTATCGAATGGAATCCTCGTACAAACCCTGCATAAGCAACATAGAAGAAGTTGCATCAATAGGGGTTATCAGGGCATGTGTTTGTTATACCTGTTGCCAGTTGCCATGCATGCAAAAGTACCAGTTCACAAAAATACATAGTTCCATCAAGATTGTATGCTAGTGTTGTACTGTTGAGAAACTAAGATGAGCAAAACCAAAATATTCTCTCTCATTTCACATCGCAGGAAGCGTGGTATTCTTAAAGAACCAATTGCACAGACGATAACATTCTATTAAAAAAGAATTACCTGGTTGGCATAGCTGATTCCCATATTTGCCCATGCACGCACATAGTTGGGTTTCAAGTCTAGAGCCTGAAAACAGAACATATTGTAATTAGTTCCAGATTTCAAATACACAAACAAGTCTTATTACACCAGCATGCTGAAATCTTGTTTACATTCCCTTCAAAATGAATAGTCAAAGACCAACAAAATACCGGATCAGCAGCCATTTAAGGCATCAGACACGACATAAACAGGAATATATACAAATTCAGCTAGTTATGTGGGCAAAAAGACCAATGTTAAAACATTAAGGCCTCGTTCGGTTAGAGCAAAATGAGGCTAGGATTCCTTTCAGGAAGTTAAGACTTATATAAATTAGCTAACAGTTCCGGCCAGGAATCCTTCCATGCAGTCATTCCCGGCGAAACGAACGGCCCCTAAACAAGTTTCTGAGCTAATTACCTGCTGATATGCCAGTATTGCATCAGCACTCTGGATGCTGTTTGCTTGGGTAGCACCAAGCTTGTTCCAGAGTGAATAGTCCTGTGGTTTGAGCTGTAGTGCTGTCTTAAATGAAGCTATAGCTTTATCATACTCTCTTGATAGATTGTATAAGACTCCCAGAACTATATGAACATCTGCATCTTCAGGTGACATCTGAGCAGCTTCATTAAACAATCTAACAACCTGATGAGACAAACATTTAGTATGGTAGAATGAAACTATTTAGAGAAATTAATATGTTGAAAGATATTAGAAATGGGCAAAAAGTACACGACTACAGCTAAAAACATCTAATCTTGATACCCATCTGAAATCTGAAGATGCCAGAGTGCAATAAGTTAATAGAGTAAACTGAAACATACACACTTAAAGTAGCATGCAGTCGTGTACTTACATCAGGACCATAAGGTGAATCAGTTGACTGCGGAGGGACAAGGCCACCATATTTTGGATGATTCTGAAGCCACCTATAAAGATACCTTAACGCTTCTCCCTGCTCCAATTCTGCATCAATTGCTAGAAGAATTAAACCCTTTCAAGATAACAAATAATTTGGTATTTTGATTAATCTTCTACTTGAACTAAATTTCAGAATGTTATATTGCATAATTGCTATTCCATTATTTGACATAAAGCTTGGAGGAGCATAGAAAAGTTCTTTTCTTTGAACATAGAAAAGGAAATAGACATGTTTTCCCTTAAACATGAATCATTTTAATAAGTTTTGTTTAGTTGTTCACTGTTCCTAGTGAAATAGCTCCACATCAGTGCAGAAATAAGATTACTTCCAAATCACGTGTCACTAGATTATCTCAAAGAGTGCTAGAGCAGATTAGGCAGGGAGTCAAATTACTCCCACAATTCCAAGCACTAACCATTTGTGTGACTAACACCAAGAGAGAGAAGAACTTCAAGGTTTGTCGGATTAGCTTCCAACGCACGCATCATTGCTGCAATGGCCTGAATTCAAAGCAAAAAAAAAAGACAAAAATCAGCTTCATGAAAAGCTAAAGTTTAACAACAGAAGTACATTTTCCTGACAGATTATAAACTGAGCTACATGCATATCATGTGTGTAATTATTGCAATTTACACACAACTGCAATGAAGCATGGTTCACATATTCCTCATGAAAAGCATTCTGCAGACAACTATAAACAAACAAATTCAGTCTGTCTTTTGCCTCTCTGATTTGGTTAAACAATTCTTTAAAAATTCAGCTGGTGGGTAAAGACCTCCCCCATGTTTTTTTTACTTTGAGAAGGAACCTCAGCCAATCCGACCGAGAAAATCCCCCAAACCCCAGCTTCACCCTACGCAACTACCCCGGACAACTATAAACAAACAAATTCAGTCTGTCTTTTGCCTCTCTGATTTGGTTAAACAGTTCTTTAAAAACTCAGCTGATGGGTAAAGACCACCCCCATGTTTTTTAACTCTGAGAAGGAACCTCAGCCAATCCGACGAGAAAATCCCCCAAACCCCAGCTTCACCCTGGTACAAGGGCCCAAAAACAAACAAAAGGCGCCACAGGCTGGCGCCCTGCTACTACTTTTTGGGTCGCTAACAGAGTTTTTGGTGCCACCAACCCTGGCCAGTGTCTCCCTCAACTAGGGAGCTTACCGCTACGCTACAAGAATACTGGCTGGTTAAACAATTCTTAGAAATTGATCTATTCAAAATTCAAAACTCATCGAATAAAAAGATACAAAAAAGACAGTGCATATATCTCTCAAGTGCAGGGTTGCCTATCGTGTATTTTAATATGATCCCAATTAATATCAAAAGTTTAAACATTTAAAAGAGATATATCACCTGTTGGTCATCATCATTTTCTGCATGTGTTACGCCTAACAACCTCCAACCTTCAGCATTATCAGGATTCTTCAAAACTTCAGCCTCTAAAGCAAGAACAGCTTCACTTAAGAGGCCCTTGCGGAAGAGCTCCTGTCCTTCCTGAATTGGATTAGGGTGACCAACATACGGGTTGTTCTCAGAAAAAACATAAACCCCTCGAGAGGTGCCCGAACTTTGTTTGAAAGATGACAAGTGTTCTTGGAACCTACAAAGAAAGAATGAAAAAGGATTACTGGTACAATAGTTATACCAAAGGGTTTTCTATAAAATCAACATAATTGACCAACGTCAATATAAACTAATTAGATAATTGTATTAACAATTTACCAAACAAGATGGATGTTGGAACAAATAACTCAATTTTTTATAAGAATTACAAAGTTCTTTCAGTATCTGATACAAAGATAGGTTTGACAAAACTCAAGAGGTACGAAATTTAACTCAATTATAATGCTATTCCATGACAAAGCAGATGTACAGAAGTACACGGAATTTCTACTTACTCATCTACCCAGGGATCAGCAGAGCTTTCGCCAAAACCACCTCCACTGAATTCCTCTGCCCATTCATCA